ATATATATATATATATATATATATATATATATATATATATATATATATATGAAAAATGTTTCTTCAGAAATACATGATGTTTTGGGAATAAGTTATGCATTAAGTTTTATACTTTGATATAAATAAGCATAAATAAAAGGTTTTAAATTGTTCATATAAATGGGGATGTCACAGTTGGTATTAGGGCATTAGTTTAAGCGAACTAAGAATTTCAAGGATTTCTAAACTTAAAATAAGAATGTTAAGCGATGATCATGAGATGTGTGTCTATTATATTTTAGGTAGTATACCTGAATTGACACAAGCACTAGCTTATTTTAGGATAAGATGCCTAATTTGTTGTTATGTGCTAAATGATTTATATTATACCATGCCTTAGGTTACCTACCTATATTGCTATTACTTGATTAGATCTAAGGTCTATTGCCGACCTCAATTTGGAAAATTTATATGTTCAGGATTTTAAACGTTATTTACTATATTAGATATGACATATAACTTTTCGGAGTGATAAGGAGAATTTATGCGTCTAAACATAAATAAAAGCTTCCCTAAATAAACTCGCGTCACGGTACACTGAATGCCTGCTTTGGTGTATAGATCATCATGATGAGAACTCGAAGTGGACTAGGAAACGGTAACGGGAATCAACAGCCCGAGCCCCATATAGTCGAGCATGCACTAGGGGCAATGCTTACACAAGAACAAATCACAATGGCAGGAGTCCAAGCAATGGTTCGATCCATGTTAGTTGAACTGAGGGAAGATATGAGACAACTATTATGGGGATAATAGGGGTGAACCCACGACACCTATTATGCAACCTGAGCTAAACAAAGAATAGTCAAAGGAAGGGAACTATAGCTGGAGTGTTAGTCAAGCTGAGCCACGAGTGGTTATAAGAAACCACCCAAAAGGAAGAAACAATGGAAATGGATGCAAATACAAGGACTTCATGGCATCCAAGCTGTAACGCCCGCAGATCCGGGCTAGTCAATTTAGAGACAATAAGTATCAAAAATGAG